CCTGGTCCTGGGGGGAGACCACTCTAAGAAGGAAGGAAGCATCATCATAGTGGCCAGGGTCTCATTAGGGCAGTAATTAGAGTGGAGTCCTGCACTGAGAGCCTCCCTTCCTGGCTCTGCTTGGCAGAAAACTTCCTCCTCCGTGAGAAGCTTGGCACTTGTTCTGTGGGTGCCAGGAGTCCCATGCAGAGCCAGCTACTGTCAGGAATGGGCAGCTGTGAAATGTCAAATATGACAAAGGGACAAATCGGTACCCACCCCGCTGCAGGGTGCCATGGCATGGGAATCTCTAATAGGAAATTTTAAGGCAGAGAGTCATCCTAAGGCCTCATTCTCCTCCAATTTATGGTCTCAAGGTCTTTGCCTGGTTGCTCAGTGGATGATGCCCCTGGCCTCCTCCTCCCTGGGGACCAGGAGGATCCTCTAGCCATCCTGGCGACCTTGCCTCCTCCCCAGGGACCTCTCAGTCTCCTGATGGCATCCTCTGGCTGCCCCAGTCCCCTACACTGATCACTTGGAATCAGTGTCCCCATGTCAACACGACAGCATGGTGTGCTCCTAGGCAGGACCCCTGTCTGGCTTGCCTGTAACCCTCCACACCTCCCACAGAGCCCCCAACAGGGGACTCTCAGTGCTTATGGAAGGGATGACCAGAGGAGGAGGAGGAGGAGGAAGAAGAGGAGGAGGACCAAGAGACAGATCTGTGGGGCAGGCACAGGGGATTCTGGAGCCAGCAACGTGTACAGCAAGGTTGTACCAAAACAGCAAAACCAGCTCAGCACCAACAGTCACAGCTCCTGAGCTGCCACAGCAGAGTGGGCGCAGTGGGGGTGGCCTCCCCTCTCGGCCACCTGCATCTCTCACTTGGCCCTTTTTGTTATTTGACCTGGAGGCTGTGTCCCCACATTCACCTGGAGCAGGGCTGGGACTGGACCTGGGTCCCTGTCCTGTGCTAAGCAGATGAGGAAGACAACAGAGAAGCCAGTGTGTTCAAGAGGTGGCCCAAGAACATGCCCACACCTTCCCGCTCTTACTGACCTCAAGCCCAAGAACATGTCCCAATTCAAAGAAAGCACAAGGTCATTTTATCATTGAATTACATCAGAGCCGTAAGAGGTGCTCAACATAGGATCTGGATAGATATTGAAATTTTGCCTTAAAGTTCTATTTTTCTCTCCACAAATGAAAAACTAAGAATTTTCTCCATGATTCATAGCTTCTGTGGTTGACCCCTTGGCACCCTGCTGCCCCAACTCCACCATGCTTTCCCTGGGCCCATGACAACTCCACACCTGTCCCCATACCTGTCAGTTCTTCTCATCAAGGTCAGGGACGGGCAAGGGTGAGGGGGTAACCTGAGCCTGGTTGCAGAGCCCCTCAGGCTTCCTCAGGCTCCCGGGACTCAGTGTGGGAGACCAGTCGTGGCTTCTCAGGGCCAGGAGCCTCCAGCCAAGGGGTCTTGGTCAAGGCACACCACTTTTCTGAAACAGATATTTTCTGTTGCAGATATTACGTCTTAGGGTTGGTGTTGGTGTCATGAGAAGGTGTTATGTGAGGAGTCACTGGAGCATATTTAACTTGAATGGAAATTCAGAGCTCCCGGCAGGCAGGGCCACCAGGACATAGGCAATTGGTGCTGCCCAGCTTGACAGGCAGAAGTCCCCAGGCCACTGTCGGAGCTGCTCAGCCACAGGCCCTCTGGGCTGCTGGTGCCTGGACATGATGTCAGGCCTTAAACTGAACCTTGGCTGCTCATCTCTGATTTCTGGACACAGACCCCAGCTCTCTCCTGCTCCTACCCTAGGCCTGAACTGCTCTGTGTGTCTGGACAGACCCAAGGCCTATATGCATTCTTTCCACTGGGGAGGCCTGGGCCGTCCTTGCCCCCAATCCTGCAGTATATCACAGCCCCTGGGGATGGGCACCTAACAGGCACTACTTTTGCCCCAAAACCAACTCAGGAGAAACTAGAGAAGCAGGGAGAATATGGATTCCCAGGAACTCACCCTGCAGGGGGCTGACCCCGTGGTGTGTGGGTTCCACAGGGTGCAGAGGAGAGGCCAGAGGGGGTCGTAGGAGTAGGTGGGTAGAGGGAAGCTTTTGGATTTTGCTCTTCACATGAGGCCATGATTGCTTTGGGTCAATAACTGGCTGCCCCTTGACCCAGTCCCAGGCCACTGGAGGCAGCGGGGTAATACCCCAGTGGTACAAAGGTCTTTGCATGAAATCAAACCTTTCAAAAATGCAGTCAAAACCAAGGGATGAGATGCTTCTGGAATTTCCAGAAGTTCTGGAAGGTTCTCTTCATAATATTTCCCTAAATTCTCTGAAATACTAATATCCCTTAGCACAAATAAAAAGATAACAGCAAGAGTGAAGAATAAATAATAAGTTCCTGAAACTTGGTGTGGGTGAGGGAACAAGGCCCCAAAGAGCTGCCACAGGGTGAAAGGGAGGGGCCCCTGCCTGGTGTCCGAGGGCTGGGGGGACAAAGGACCCCGGTGCCATCTTGGCTTCACTCCCTGTGCAGCAGCAGCCTCTGCCCACGGGTGAGGTGGACCTGGGGTGGGCATCTGGTGAGAGGCCTGCTCAGGGGCACACATCTGCCCTTGTCAATCACTTGTTATTCCTGTCCCGTGGCCTCCTGAAGGTCTCTATAGCATCTAGCAGTGTGTCTCGTGTTTTCAGAGATGTCCGAGGAGTGAGGTGGCCTGGGAGCTGCTGGAGTTCCTGTGGCAGAGCAGGCTTGTAATTCTCTAACCCATCGCCGTGTGTCCCTCAGCGCACCTGCCACCTGGACCTGGGAGGCTGGCTTGAGATGGAGCGATGCAGCCCTGCTGTCCTCTCCGCTCTGCTCCAAGGTGGGGATGGCTTACATGGGGATCTGCTGCATGTAGCAAGTCATGCAAAAGCCTCTCCCTTCTCCAACACAC